CACAATTATTTGTAGGATTTTCAGAACCACTTCCATATGCCCAGGCCACACATGAACAGCGAGCCTAATACTAAATTTCAGATTTCAAGCACTATCTGTTCACCCTATACCAAATTGTACCGTACTATTTAATACTTTTCGAACAAATATACATACATTTCCAAAATCACTTTCATATTCTAAAAACAGACACTTACAGTGACGTCTATATCAAATTTGAGGATTCCTAACCTATCCCTTCACACAATACCAAATTTAGTACTTTTCGTACAAATATAGGTTGCATTTCCAAACCACCGCCAAATATTAAATTTTAGAATTTTATATTTATCCCTTATTCAATACCAAATATTTTACCATTTAGTACTTTTCGTATAAGTACAGTACATATTTCCGAATTCACCTCCATGTCAAGGCTGCACATCTGTTTCCCCAATACCTAATTGTACCAATTATAGTACTATTTAGTACATTTCGTGCACTGTACTACAAGTGTCAAAACTACCTCTTTATCATGAACCCACCACCAACAGGGATTCCAATACCGAAACTTCGAAATTCCAGCTCCATCCGTTTACCTTAAACCAGACTGTCCCAAATTTAGTATTATTTAGTACAGCTCGCACGCTTAGTATACGTTTCCAAAGCCATATGTATCAAACTTACTTCCCAACCTTGATTCTCTCGCCAAATTTCAAGTTTTTTACCTCTATCCGTTCACATAAAACCAAATGGTAGCTTTTTAGAGGTTTGGTAACATTTAAAAACTTTTCGTAACCTTAAAGTTCAAAATTCCGAAAAAATCCTTTGGTAATACTCACTCCAAATTCTAGCTCATTTCGATTGTCGAATACACCATATTCAATTTTTAGTACATTTTAGTACTTTTTGTATCCTTTTAGTACGAATTTCCAAAAACCCAGCCTTATCACACGCCTATGCACCAAGACTGATCCTCGTGCAAAATTTCCAGATTCTAACTTCAGCCGTTTTTTCTGGGCATTGATTCTAAGTTAGATAGTTCTTTTATTAATCTTTTTTGTATATATGAGGACCGCCTAAAAGTGTGCTTTAAAAATGTTAAAGATCATTATGAAAAAATCATTTTACATATGACTTTAATATGATGTGAAAACTATCTTTAAAAAGCGAAAAGAACACATGAGCACAGATAGGAATATTAAACTAATGGAGTTCGAGTTCTGATATTTTTGGAGATATGGTTTTTTTTTTTTTCTGGCGATATCTAAAAGTTATCATTTGTATATAGGGAGCAAGCACTAGATAATCGAATATAATTAATAGACCCTCAAATTTAATAAAATCAGGAGCATACTATATGTGGACTATACTTCAGTATCCAAAACTCCAAAGTTATTTGCGGAGAAATGCTCTACGTCCAAAGAAACTTGGTTAAGACCAAATCGATCAATTTTTCGAATTTGATTTTTCAAATATGTACAATGTTTTTTTATACCCACTATGTGTTGGGGGTATTATAAGTTTGATTGGGCCAGAATTTATGTAACACCTCGAAATATTGGTTTCCCATATAGGAAAGTATATATGGATCTTCCTAGCTCGCCGAGCTGAGTCGAGTCCGTCCGTCCGTCTGTCCGTCTGTCCATGTTAATTTGTAATCACTCTACAGGTCGCAATTATGGTCCGATCTTCACGAAATTTAAAATGGAGGTGGGGCTAGGGTCAGAATAGAACCCTATTTCTTTTGGAGATGATCGCATAATATTTAGTGGTCGAAATGGACCAAATACTGAAAAAATATCGGATTTTGCAGTAGCTATATAGGTCGCAATTATAGACCAATCGACGGAATTTCGTATGTAGCTAGAGTTTAGGGCGGGGAAGAAGCCTACCAATTATGGTGGTCATCGGATAATATTTAGCGGGTAAAATAGACCATATATTTTGTGTTGAAAAAATTCAACATTTTTCATTAAACCGCGAATATTTTAAATCCCTGCGAAATCACGAAGCCATGATAAGGTTACTTCTGACCTTTACATTGATGTTAACATCCAACAAATCGGATATATAGCAAAATATGTGCGATATATATGTCTATCAAAGATGATATGCTTGAAAGATCTCTTATATGTCGAGAACGGCTGAACTGATTTCGACAGTTCTCATTAATTCAGAATGGCCTCTTGGCAGGAAAGAAAAAACGTCTAAAAAAATCGAATAAAAATATCTCTGTAAAGATGAAAATATTGATTTTGTAAAATTTTCTCATATTTTTTTAATTTTGTCATATTTTTGGCATATTTTCATTTTGAATTAAACATTTGGTAATATTTCTACAGCTAACAAAACTAAGTAGTTAGGATATCAGGATATCATATACAGGTCGCATTTATGGCCCGATCTTTACGAAATTTTGCATGGGTATAAGATGAGGGTCAGAATATAAGCCTACTCTTTTTGGAGATGATCGCAATATATTTAACTGCAAAATTGTCCGCAGGTCGTAATTATCGCCCGATCCTCACGCACATTTGAATGGGGGTTACCGGACATTGTAAAAGCCAAGCAGTTTTGGATGGCCATTCAAAAATATTCAATGTGGTAAATAGTTTGCCAACGTTTGTAGACAAAATACGAAAATGTTTATTCCAGTGACTCTTTAGAGAATTCACAAATACAGGAAAGACGCACTTCTGACGCACTTGTTAATGCTGATTTCGTGGAAGAATATAGTCAAATGTCTGTATCTCATATAGATGCGTTTCAGTCAAAACCAATAATAAATGTTAATCTTTTGCCACTTCTGAGAGATTATAGGTCTTTGGGAAATATTGGTTCCAGATCTAGGAAGACCATTTACGTGCAACATCTACCAATAAATTGGAAATAAGCAAATTAGTTCAAGTTTCTATTATTCGAAAATTAGAACGAAACCTGATGGTTTTCTTTTATTATTTGTCACAATATCTTGTGGAATTCTTTCGAGTATATGGCCTATATAAACTGTATCATTTATTATAGTGTTGTAGGGTATTCAACGGTCGGCCCTGCTCGACTGTAGCCTTTGCTTACTTGTTTTTATTAAAAAAAATAATAATAATAGTTTTTTATGGTACATATTGAATATACAAACTTCTTTTGTTTAGAGACTGGCAATAAAATTTAATTTAGAATAATTCTTCCTTTGGCATTTTTTCCCAAAAAATGGAGTATAAAGGGAGATTTTGTCTTAGAATGAAAACATGTTAAATTTACAATAAAAAGCAAGCACACAATTTTCACTTGTGGTACATAAATGTCGAATGCAATTTTCTTCAAAACTATTCTGAAATTTCCAGTGGAATTTGGTGTAGAATACTTCTTCCTATGACAGCTTCTTCCTCAAACGACAATTTATGTTATTTTCAGGCTTCAAAAGAAAAATAAAAAAATTACGAACAATTTTGGGGAAACATTGAGCAATTTTCCATATGTAATGGAAATATAGATTTCTTTTCTTTGGTGACTTTTCGAGGTGAAGGGTATAACAAGTAGTAAACAGTTAAATTCGGCCTCGCCAAACTTTTTCCACCATTCGGAAGGGAATTGAAAAATTAAAAACAAAAAATAAAAACCTTTATATGTGGGCTATACGAAGACGTGGTGCTGGATAATTAATTTTTTGTCATAGACTGTAGCAACGATTCCGAACTTCAAATACGAAATTCGAAATAATTCCGGTGAATAAAGCTGCTAATGTAATCAAAATACCGTATAAGGGGAGGTACCGTTGTATGGGGGTTATACTAAGACGTGGACCTGCATAGACAATTTTCCGTCATAGATTTTAGCACCCATTACGAACTTCAAATACGAAATTTGACGCAATTCCGGTGAATAATGTCACAGATTAATTATCCTGGAAATACCTAATATCTTGGGGTAGGTGCTATACTAAAACCTATATAGACAATCTTCCAGTGGGTGAAGTACTCAGAGGGAACTCCTTGTGTGGATTTTCAGACTAATCTATTGGAAAATATGGCTAAAATCATCAAAATACCGAATATCGGGGGGCACAATTGTATAGGGGGCTATACGATATCGTGGATCTATACAGACAATTCTCTTTCAGGGGGTAAAGTAGTCACAAAGAACTCATTGTGTAGAATTTCATTCCATTGAAAATGTGACTAAATTCATCAAAATACCGAATGTCAGGAGGAATATGGGGGGGGGGCACAATTATATGGGGGTATACGATATCGTGGACCTATATACACAATTGTCTTTCATAGGGTAAAGTACTCGGTAGGAATGCCTTTTGTGGATTTCAAGCCAATTCCTTTGAAGAATGTGACTAAAATTATAGAATTTCAGACAATTCCATTAAAAAATGTGGCTAAAACGATCAAAATACTGAATATGGGGAGGTACCGTTATATGGGGGGATATACGATATCGTGGACCTATATAGGGGTAAAGTAGTCACGAAGAACTCCTTGTGTAGCATTGCAGACAATTCCTTTGAAAAAGTGGTTAAAATTTTCAAAATACGAATATCGGGGGTACCGTTATATGGGGGCTATACGATATCGTGGACCGATATAGACCGATCTTCGAACTTGACCTGCCTGCTGACAAAAGACAGATCGGTGCAAAATTTCAGCTTCCATTCTTTATTCGTTACAAACGTAATATACCCTCCGTACTATGTATGGTGGAGGGTATAAAAATGTGGAAAAATAATTGGTAATTGGCGCCATCTATATTACAGTTATTAAAAACTGTTTTTAAAAGCAAAAAAGAACATTTCTGGCAAAATATTCCAAAGTATGTTTCAAATGTAATTCACATCTCTTTTGGTTTGCTGGGATTGCATGCATATTTATTTTTGCACATACATACGTACCTACATAAGTATCCCCCCACTAATTGACAGCAACTCGTTCACCTACACTCTCACTCTATTTGTTTCAAATCTATAACACAAATACAATGGCAACGCAATGTTGCAGCCATTAGTACTCACTCACCTATAGTTCACATTTAGCGTTATGCCATTTGGCAAACGTTCCGGAGTATTTTTATGCTGGGTTACTGCACTTGTTGCTGCTATGCACGTTATAATGCAGGTTGTGTCCAATAGAGATTTCAGCTGTTGCGGCCGTATTAGTTCTGTGGTACTGTTCGCCTTAATGGGTATACATTCGACAATACCACCCAATAGATCACTCAAGCCATCCGAACGTGTGCCGTATTTCAAGGCCTCATAAGAACCGTGTAACTTTGCTATGGCCTTTTCCAGCAGCGAGGCCCAATAGCAATTGGAAGTCTGTGGCTGCAGAAATGCCAGACGGCCATTTATGGTGGGCAAACGATCGTCCACCAGCACCTCAACCCATTCACCGCACCACCACAGACGAAAACGGAAAACACCATTGGCCTTGTCCAGAGATTGATCGGCTGGTACCACACGATAGAATAGATTGCGCAGCGAGTGCAAAACACTTAGACAGGAAACCAGCCAACGATCACCCATTTTTCCGGGTATGACATCGAAATTTTCCGACTCATTGACAAAGCAGGCATTTTTGATGTCGGCTATTTCAGAGATGCGACGCCACTGGAAGGTAAACGGTGGGGTTTGGTAATAGAATACAGATGTTTGCACCGCAGGAAAATCGGGGTCTTCCCACAGAGTGTTGCGAGCACGACATTCGTTTTTAATGCGTTCATATTTTGACGTCATATTCTCTTCGTGTTGGTTTTTAAGATTTGCCGTCCAAAGGTAACAACAACATCAACGACCACCACCACCACGACCACGACCACGACAACGATAACGAGCACCAAGATTGCAAATAAAAAGAAGTTCGCTTGTTTTGGCTATAAAAAAAACGGAACGGTGGGCGTGATTTTGACGCGTGTACGCAATAAATTCTTTGTTTTCACTTTAAAACTCCATCAAAGATAGATGCTCGGATAGCCTTTAAAAACTCAACGCACTCTTCACACTTTGACCACTAAATCCAGACTATGTTATTGCCATTAATCGTCCACCATTCTCTTCATTATTCTCTATCTTTTCTATTCACACTTTGACAAATATCCAAAAGCAAAACTATATTCTTTCTTTTCGTGGCATATTCCAATTTGAAGTATGAACTTCTTATTAGATTTTCCGATCACGTACTATTTTTTCTTCACAGGTAGTTTGTTTTATTTTTTTCTTATTTTGAAATGACCTTGTTTTGGGAAAATTTTTTGAGAAAACAACAAACCCAAAATTTCACACAACCACTATCATGGGTAGCACCACCAGTTATAGTGGCTAATAGCTGGATGGCTTGCTGGCTGGCTGGCTGGCAGTACAACAAAGTGAAAGTTATAAGAAAATAAAACTGAATGAAAAATAATAGCGCAGCGCACACGCAAATAGTAGTAGAAGACAACGACGACGACGACAATAACACGATATCGACGACCACGACAACGTAAGAAACTAAAGCAAGTTAGGCTGCATCGATGGTAGCCACCTGAATGGAAACACCAAACATCAACCAGATATGTGGAATGTTTTAATTGTCAATTTGTGAAGTTTTCTTTTTAAACAGGTCCCAAACCGCATGCGCAACTGTTGAGCGGCTCGTAAAGTATTGCCATTGGTTTGCAGTTGATTTTGTGAATATGGCAACATTATTTGAATGAAGTTGTAACAAATAAATACAGCTCTGTTTTGAAAAATATTGATCGGCTCAAGCGGATGTAAATAAAGGGTATGTTTTATTTTTTAGTAAAAAAAAAAAATAAAATAGTATCAGTCGGTTTTGCCGACAGATGTACACACCTTGAGTTATGATTATTCAAGCTGTTGGCCCTTTATGGGGAAGGTTCCGAAGCAGTTGACCAATTCGTATGTGACCTAAGATTGATGTAAATATTACGTGTGAGATTTGGACTGTATAGATTACTTCCAATACGATAATAAAAACTACTACAGATATTGCAAGTTGTAAAGAATCGCCGACTTGTTATAAGTTATAACAGATATAAGTATTGGAAATTGTGACCTTTTATGGGTGAGGTAGTTTGCCGTTATATATCACCTCACAACAGATCTGTGTTGTGAAATTGGAAGAGAATTTAATGCTTATTTCGCTTTCTTTCAGTGTTTTGTTTTCCAAAATCTTGAACCCTATGTGGGGGAGGTATCAGAAGGAATGGCCCGATCTCTACCATCTTTATAACAGATCTTGTGTTGATAGAAATATTGGTTGATAGAAAGACTTGGCACATCGTCTGAATGGAATCGGATGTGAATTTCGTGTTTTATGAGCTTCATGAATATTCAAAATTCAATTTTTTGACCCTTTGTGGGGGAGGTACCAGTAGAAGTTGACCGATATATTCCATCTTTATACCAGAGTCTGGTAACCAGACTTTGGTATAAGTTATAATTATTCAAAATGTCGACCCTCTTTGGGGGAGTTACCAGAAGGAGTGATCCGATATACTCCTTCTTCACAGCAGATCTTGTGTTAGTAGAAATATTGCGATGTTCCGAGTTTGAAAGGAATAGGGTGCACATTTCGCGTTTAGCAAGCTTCATGGATATTCAAAGTTTTACCCATTCTGTGGGATATACCAGAAGGAGTGGTCCGATATATTCCCATTTTCACACTAGAACTTGTATTGGGATGTGCAAAATTTGAAGACAATCGGACTCTTAATTAAAATTTATAAGAATTATGATTATTCATCCTTGTGAATGAGGTACGTGATGGAGTGGGCCGACATTGTCCATTTTCGCACTCGACATAGCACGGATACAAATATTAGTTTGGACAGAATGGGATGATATTTGCTTGTTCTATATGGTAAATTATTTTTTGTTATATTTTTGAGGGGGAGGTGCCAGAAGGAGTGGACCGATATTGCCCATTTCCGAACTGGATCTAAGTTTGACAAAAATATTACGATGTATTATTTTTCGCTCAAATCGGATACTCCCTTCCAGAGTTATCGAGCGCACCAGCCAGACAGACGGACGGACATCGCTAGATCGACTCCAATTATCCTGAAACGGATTTAGTCCAAAGATACCAAGGGTCTTAAACCGTTATTCCGATGAAGCACGTTTTGGCCATATCAAATATAAATCACCCAAATATGCTTAGTCCAATTTTGACATAATCATTATTTCGGCTGGTATCTCACGAATAAATGCTATGCCCCAATGTTGTCTTCCAATGCGTCAATTGAATCGGACTTGTCTGTATAGACATAAGATCTAACATAGCCCCATTAAAAAATAATCTAAAGGCGTAAAATACTTCGATTTAGGAGTCCAATTGGCCGGTGCCGAACGTGAAATAAAGTGTTTACTGAACTCGCCTTTCAATAAGTCCATTGTTTCACTTGCTGTGTGGGGTGCCCCCGTTTTGTTGAAACTACATATCATGCAAGTCAAGCTCTTCTATTTTGGGCAAAAAAAGTAGTAGGGTATCATCTCACGGTAGAGCCCACCATTCACAGTTACGTTACGACTGTATTAAACGGTGATTTTTCTGCAAATTTTGCTAGCATTTGCAATTTTTTTCACTCCAAAATCGATAGTTCTGCTTATTTACGTATCCATTTATTTAAAAATTGAGATAAGTCGCTGAATAAAAATGAGGGCGCAATGAGCTTTTTTAACAGAGCACAAGCTTTGATAATAAAATTCAATGCTTTGCAAGCGCTTTTCGTTTGTAAGATGTTAGACAGTGAAACAAACCACGAGCGTTAGCTGTTAAAACCAGGGTTGCAAAAAATATTATATTTAAAAATTATCCCTTATAGAACAGTGTTTGGCTTGTTTGTTCGGGATACCATAGTATTTTGTTGTTGCAAAATGGTCAGGCTTAATCCCTTTAATTGTTGTTTTTATAAAAACAACGTTTGTTTATTGGTGGAGAACGATGGTAATGTTTACCAGGGGGTAAGGCAGGGAATACCTAGGTTTCGGAAAGAGCCACCAATCCTCATCAGTTCCCTTGTTTGGTGGCTCTTTCCATTTTGCAACAACAATTATCCCTTATGTTGTAAGCTTTTCATAAAAAAGATTAGCATATTTTCGTATAGCACCCAATATAGCGAAATGGACTGAATGGATTGCAATATTCAATTTATGTTTCTTCTTGTATAAAAAACTTCCCCAAAATTATTATTTTCATGTAGCACCTATTATGCCAGTACATCCTGTATGACTCTACTTTTCAATATTATTATTCATTTCCAAAGCTATTATTCAACTATATTGTCATGTTTTAGTTTTCCATATCAAAACTTCAGATTTTGGGATGTAGAGCTAAATTTCAAGTCTAATTTTCAACCTTAATTTGTTATAAAAATAATTAAAGATCTTTGTATGTTTTGATATTTTGTATATATTTGTTATAAAATACTTGTTTTATTTTTCGGTATATACACTTATTTGCAATTAAGGTTTATGAAAACTTCCCCAATGTGGACACTAATAATGGCTTATAACAATATAACATGCCATATACTGCCCCCATAGATATTTAACAGTATAAATATATACTCTTATCAGCATAACAAATAAAAAAAACTTACTGAAAAAATATCTTAGCACTACATAGGTTATAATATAACAAATTATATTCCATTTGATGAGCATTAATACGTCTTTCTGTCAACACCAAAGTCTGTTGTAATTTCTCATTTTCATTCTTTTGTAAGGCTGCAGCATTGGTGTTAGACTTGGATGTGGTAACATTCGATTTTTGATTAATTTCCAAGAGCATCTCTTTAATTTTTCTTCGTTCCGCCTCAAAACGTTCACGAACTGTTGTAAACCATTGTAGCGAATTAAAATCACCAACCTGATTGAGCAATTTCAAAATGTAAGCTAAACCCACAGCAAAGCCATCATCAAACAGTACAGCTTCTTCGCGATCTTTTTTGTTAATTTTCGATTTGACTGTCAACATATATTCGACAAAGTTCATTATGAGTGGAGGTACAATGAGAAAGAAGTTGCGCAAGTGTAGATTGTGGGGATTACGGAAAAATGGTTGAAATGCATCCACAAGTAGCTGGAAAGGGAAACAATATTTTGTAAATTCGCAGAGTTTGTCCAAGCAATTTAAATACTTACCTTAAAATAATCCGTGCTATCAGCAAAACTATTGGCCAAATTTTGAATATTTGTTTCAAGATTCTCTGCGGCATTTTGCAGAACTTCACTTAACTCCTGATTTTTACATTTTTCAACAAATTGTAAGTTTTCATCAAATTTTGGTAAATATAAGCTGGCACTATAGTTTGCATGAATGCTACCTGAACGTATCAAACGTATGTAACCCATTGCATTCCCTAAAAATCAAAACCAGAATTTAACAACTAAAAAATGCTATGATATTGTATCACTACTTACCAACATGAGTAATAACTTTCCGAAATAAATCCATATACGTTTGCCCATCCTTGGCCAGGCCCAGTTTACGTATATCCTTATTAAATGCATCAGCTCTTTCGTATGAATACAGTGGATATTTATCCTGTTGCTTACATTCGGCAAACGAACGCAACTCTTTCATGAGTCTCGACTTGATTTGTTCATCATAAAGAAATTGTGAGAAAGTATAAAACTTTTGTCTTAAAAATTGATATGTAAAGTTAACTGTTGTATTTATGACACCAGTGCCATGGGTACGCAACGAATTGGCCACGTGCCGTATACCAATGGTATCCAAATGATTATTATTGCTGTGTTGTTCCACGAATATTTGCGAATTCATATTGTAAACATAGACACTGACAAATACATGAATTTTACGCATTATTTCCAAAATATCAATACCCTGTTCCAGTGTCTGGTTGGGTAGATAATCTTCGACCGGATTCAAGTGTAAACGGTTATTTGCCAAATGTCTCATTTGTTCATAGGTTTTCCAGTCATGCAGCGAAATTGTGGTAAGATTATAAAACATTGCACTTAAATAGTTTTCAATGTGATCTTTCAATATCAAATAGTTGCCATTAACTTCAATGGGGCAGACATTTATCAGTTCCTTGTAGTTATTAATGCCCTGCTCAAAAGGATTCATTTTTTCCACTTGTAAATTGACATGGACCTCTAAACGCAGGAATATTTCTATTTGAGCACACAGCTTGCTTACGATTTCGGAACGTAAATTTTCGAATTGGGATTTTTGTAAGTCTTGTGAGAGTTGAGAATTTTGGAATTGTAGCAAATTCAGGCGATCATTGCATTCACTGGAAGCCTGAACAAGATACTGGAAGAAAAGAGAGAGAGAGAATGAAAATTAAGTTCAAATCTCTTTTAACTGCTAAACCTTCTTCAAAAGACAATATCATTCTAAAAAAAAAAAAACAGAAAGAAAAGTCAAAAGTCAGGCGGGGCCGACTATATGATACACCACTACACCACTTTGCATATTTAATAGAGCTCCCTTAACAAAAGAATCCAATCGAAAGAATACCATCAATACAACATTTGGCTTTAGATCAGTTATAGTTTGGTTTCAGAGGGAACTAATGTATGGGAGGCATATCGAATTTTGAATCGATTTTCACTAAATTCGATGGAAACATTTTAATCTTTTATGACAAATAATATTGCTATAGAGTGCATGATATCACTTCGAGAAGGTTTATTTAAAAAAAAAAATGTTTCGGAGCCGAATTTGTGCTGATATTAGCCATTATTTGCACAATAAACCTGAAATCGGATTAAGGATATACATGGGAGCTATGTCCAAATTTTAGCCGATCTCCATAAAATTTGCAAAGGTATTTCCGAGCTCTATAAGACATCTGGTACCAAATATCATTCTTGTCGAATATATATTACAAATGTGAGGGACTTAAACATCAAATCGGATGAAACATATATATGGGAGCTATAACTACATCTGAACCGATTCTCACCAAATTTGATGTACTTGCTTCTACACTGAATTCGGTCGGATTTACCAAAATTCAGGACATTTGGACTGATATTGGCCATATGGCGCGCAATAAACCTTACATCCTTAAATCTGAACCGATCTCGATAAAATTTGGCAGATGTATTTCTGGGCTGTAACTGACATCTGATGTCAAACATAATTTTTGTGGGGTGCATATTACGAATGTGGGGGACTTAAACACCAAATCGGATGAAACATATATATGGGGGCTATAGCTATATTTGGATGTACTTGCTTCTAGACTGAATTCGGTTAGATGTGCTAAAATGCAGGTCATGTGGGCTTATATTGACCATTTGGTCCACAATTAACCCGAAATCGGTTGAAGATATATATGGGAGCTATATCCAAATCTTAGCCGATTTCGATAAAATTTGGCAGAGGTATTCCTAGGCTGTATCTGTTCTCTGATACCAAACATCATTTTTGTGGGGTGTATATTACGAATGTGAGGGACTTCAACATCAAATCGGATGAAACATATATATATGGGAGCTGTAGCTATATCTGAACCGATTTTCACCAAATTTAATGTGCTTGCTTCTAGACATAATTCGGTTAGATGTGCCAAAATTTAGGTAATTTGGACTGATATTGGCCATTTGTTGCGCAATTAACCCGAAATCGTTTGAAGATATATATGGGAGCTTTATCCAAATATGAACCGATCCTGATAAAAATTGGCAAAGGTATTTCCGATCTCTATAAGATATCTGGTAACAAATATCATTGTTGTCGAATGCATATTACGAATATGAGGGACTTAAACACCAAATCTGATGAAACATATGTATCTGATCGGATTTTCTCCAAATTTTATGTACTTGCTTCTAGACTGAATTCGTTTCGATGTACCAAAATTCAGGACTTTTGGACTAATATTGGCCATTTGATACACAATTAACCCGAAATCGGTTGAATATATATATGGAAGCTATATCCAAATATACAACGATCTCGATAAAATTTAGCAAAGGTGTTTCTGAGCTGTATTTTATATATTTCTCCAAATATCGTTATTACAGAGTGCATATTACGGCTACGGAGGACAAAAATAACAAATCGGATGAACAATATATATTGAAGCTATAGCTATATCTGGACCGATTTCGATCGAATTTGGCATACTTATTCGTTTGGTGCACAAAAAAGGCAAATCGGACGAAGATATATATGAGAGCTACATCTAAATTTTGACCGAATACCTCCAATTTCAATAGGGTTCGTCCTTTTGCCAAACAAATAGTTGGGCTAAATTTCAACTCAATCGGGTAATAAATACGACCTGCATTTTGTTCACAAGAATGCATGGACGGACGGACTGACATTCATAAATCGACTCAGAAAGTGATTCTATGAAGATCCTCAAAAGTAACAATGGGTCTATATCGTTTCCTTTTGCCTGCTACAAGCAAATGCACAAAGACTTAATACCCTGACCACCTACTGGTGTAGGGTGTTTTAATTTCAGTTCTGCTTTCCTGAAGAAGTAAAGTTTGAAGAAGCTTTAGTGTTTAAATTAAATTGTCAATACTTACCTGAAATGAATGAAAATCCAGCTTTTTGTCCACAACTTGTTTCAGATATGCCCTCAAAATGGACTGATGCCAGTATAAAAATGAGGTATCACAAATCTCTCGGATATGCCGCTGAAAATCGCTTATCATTTCGATGCGTTGTATGAGAAGACGGAAACGCTCAAATTGCTCCATATTTAGAAACTTGCTATTACCATTGCATGCCACATCGAATGCCAATTTTGCGACTAGTATACGGGTTTTGCTGGGCGGACCCAAAAAACAACGTTCAGCTATTTTTATGGCCGACAGAGCATCGACACCCTTTTCCTTCAATTTCGAAGACAATAACTTCTTTTTGCAGGCATTGAGCAAATGTAGGACTTTATACTGGAAATATTGTGATATGCAATGTATAATTTTACTAATATTTGTTGTGTGATTGATGAAAGTCAGCTGGATCATTTTCAACATTTCCAAGAGTTTACAAACTACCATCAGAGTTTGTTTGGTCATGGGTATTTGCAGATTCTCATGACAACTAACTACACCTTTTATCATATAACTTAAATGTCCTGCCATACGGATACCTTCCATTAGCATTTGAGCCAATTCTTTGAATTGTTCTATACGCAGTTCGAATGGTCCCAAACTTAAGGCTTTGTTTATTTTCAATGTCCACAGGGTGATGTCACCACAATAAATACGGCAATCTTTGGTCAACTTTGGTCCATGTAATTGAAGAAATATTTGCTGTTGTTTCCTCAAGTCCATTTGATTTTTACCGTGTGTCTTTACCAATGAATAGGCATTTCTTGTTAGAAAATCTGTGGCGGACCATGTTATGTTGCCAATTAACATAATGGCATGATATTTGGCATTCACTTCAATTAAATGTTTTATAGATTTTGCATCAACTTGCCCGCAAAAATCATGAAATACCACACAGAATGCATTTGTACGGATTATGAGGTGAGTATTTGTAAAGGTATTCAATTCACTGGGATTGGTTTTATCCAATTCATTTAGTTGCTGTTTTAAATACTCATTGAATTGTTTATTCAATTGACCCATGCCACGCGATCCGATTTTCTCCTTTAAACTGAATGTTGTGTCGAGGAAGTGCTATAAAAAAAGAAAGCATATTATGAATCAGTGGACAATTAAATTAAAATCTAAAAAACAAAAAAAAAAATAAAATAAAAAAGCAAGTAAAATAGTGTCAGTCGATTTTACCGACAGATATATACCGCCAGCCTTGAGTTATGATTATTCAAACTGTTGACCCTTGTTTGACAATATTGACCACTTCGTATCTGACCTAAGACTGATACAAATATTACACCGTGCCTGATTTGGACTATATCGACTACTTCCTATACTTTATATGAGATATGTGCAAATTTTTGGAAAATTTGGAAATATGCGTGAGGTAACAGATATAGCGGACCGAAGTATTCCATTTTCATACTTCATCTAATACAGATAATGAAATCTTTATAACAGATCTTGTGTTGATGGAAAACTTGAGATGAATGGAATCGGATGTTAATTTCGTGTTTATGAGCTTCATGGATACTCCAAATGTTGACCCTTTGTGGGGGAAGGACTTGATGGTTTGGGCCGATGTATCCCATCTTTACAGCAGATATTGTATTAGTAGAAATAATATGAATTGTGAAATATGAAGAGAACCGAATGATTATTTCGGATTCTTTAATCATTTTGGTTATTCAAAACTTCGACCCTTCGTGGAGGAGGTACCAGAAGGAATGATCCGATCTCTACCATCTTTATAACAGATCTTGTATTGATGGACAAATTGAGATGTACCAAGTCTGAATGGTATCGGATGCTAATTTCACGTTTTATGAGTTTTATGAATACTCAAAATTTTGACCCTTTGTGGGGAAGGTACCAGAAGGAGTGGACCGATATATCCCATTTTCATACCAGACCTTGGGTTAATAAAAACATTTTAATGTGTGTAGTTTGGATACAATCGGACTCTTACATCACATTTTATAAGATTTATAATTATTCAAAATTTTGACCCTTTGTGGGGCACCACACCTGACCTAGAACCGATGCAAATATTGGGATTCACAAAGTTGAAGCAAAATAGGATTCTCTTTTCTCTTTCTGTGCAGTAAATTCTTTTTTTTTGACAAATTTGACATTTTGTTTGGGAAGTACCAGAAGGAGTGAACCGATATTGCCCATCTCCATCTCCAATATTACGATGTACCAAGTTTGGGTCAAATCGCCAGACAGACGGACGGACGGAAGGACATCGTTAGATCGACTCCGAATGTCCTGAAACGGATTTGGTCCAAAAAGACCTAGAGTCTAAAACCGTTATTTCGATGAGGCACGTTTTGGCCGTGTCATATGGCTGAGGGTATAAGATGACGGGTAGCTAATTTTACCACAGAGTCTATGAAAATCGTATACTAATCTTTTAAACGTTTTCCCATCAAATATATATCTCTAACTAGTTCATGCCTACATCTTGTCTCGATGACCTTCCCATAGACTTGCGAATGGGATAATTTCCAATAATATGAGTTAGTCATTCTTTTAATCAGCATTTCCTTAGTCAATTCCATTATGATGGAGCACATACCACGGTTCGTGAGAAAATTTTAAATAAAATCAAAATATATGTCAAAATAGACTACCATGGCAAAAAGGTACCACTAGAATTTCAGGATGTATTCCACAACCTTATGTACCACTAATAAAAGATTGCTGGGTAGACATTATAAAGGTCGTAAATTTATGCTTTGTTCCAGAACCTGCAAGAACCTACTAGTTTAGCAATTTTTATCGATGTCATAAAGAGAAAATCGGTTATCGTAGTAAAAACTTTTATATACTTGCAGTCCATTAATGTTCTTATTTCAATTTTAAACAACATACTCAATGTTGCAGGAGAAATACTAACCACCCTATAATATTTTAGGACTAATGTGGCTTTCTAGTTTGCGAATACAATTTATATTTGTATGTCTAAAATACATCCTCCAAGGGGAACTTACTGTCTGATCCTCTATTATGCTTCAAAATGAAATTTACCCTACCATGCACTCAAATGTTTAGTGCAAATGCTATAATACCATATCACGTAGTTCTATATTTTAGTATGAGTCCTCTCAATTCTCGGTAATATTTTTGATTTCATCCATTCACGGAAAAAAAGAAGTATTCATTAAGCATTTTAATAAGCATCTATTATTGGGTACTTACACGAAATATATTACCGCTGAATATGAATTCCAGTTCGTGCAGACAAGTCTGAAGGCCATTCAATTCGGATTTGGAGCAATTTTTCCACTGGGTTTGACTGTTGGACAATGTTTCCACAGTTTTCTTATACACCGGCCAATAGCGGGTAAAGCTTGAACGTAGTAAAATCTCATCGAATATCAGGATGGTGTGAAAAAGCGACGACAAATATTCACAGATGTGCTGCAGGAAGAAGAATACACCTTGATTATTAACAATAATTGTAATATAATGAATGGGTACAAATTGGGAAACTTACCGTTAATTTCATATTTACAGTACTGACTTTATTTTCGCTATCCAAAATGGCACCACACTGGTGCAACAGGTTATTGCCCAAGACAATGCAACGTTGTAGAAGGAAATTGACTTTACAAAGAAACTCCATGGATTCACTCATTTGCAGGAGTACATTACTGTGGGTCAAACTATTGTTTTGTTTGGTCATGTCAATGCTGTACTCATCTCCCGAGGCATTGGAATTTTGTATTGTGAGCAGCAATTCCTCATCTTTGTACAAAAGTTTCGTTTGCATTGATTCCGCTTCTTGGTTGATGTAGTCAATTTCGGAACACAAATGACCCACAGTCAAGAGGATCTTGTTCAGCACCCTCTCGGACTCTAGTAATTTTACCAAAGACAATTCTTCCTTATTTGCAGCATAATTGATTTGAACCACTGGCTGTTTGAGTAGGGGTTTCTCCTTGCCATCATGTTTGTTTTTCTTTACAAGATCTCTCAACTTCTTATCGTGGTCCTCCAAAAATACACCATAGTTTTTCAACTGTTCTTCAGCGGATGTAACTAAATTACGAAGATATATTAGCAACATTCATTGAAATTAGAAAACTTCAAATATTTCCTTACTTATAGTACTTTGATCCATAGTTTACAACGCCCAAATACCCTAGAATCCATATACCGACCGACTGCATCCAAATCTCAAATATCACTGAGCAGAGCTGCCACACCTTTGACACTGCGACTTGGCAACTCTAGAGCGAAAGGCGACATACGAAGAAAACGCAACAAAGATGTGGAATCAAAACAGAAACATAACAAAACAAAAAACTAGTAATTAGAGTTACTTAGATCGAAAATGTCAACAATGAGCAGAGCTGCCACTTTTTGTTAAAAATCGTGGAACATCTGTTATTTGTTAACGAACAAATTCTTCTTCTTTTTCATTGTAGTCTCGCTGAACTACTAACTTTTCAAACGGCTTTAGAGTACATATTAATTTTGAAATATGTTCTGATATTAAATTTATTTTTCTCATGACTGAAAAATTTCTTGTTCTATACGGTAAATTATTTTCTATGAAAATTTGGACATTTGTTGGGGAGGTACCAAAAGGAGTAGGCCGATATTCCCCATCTCCGAACTCGATAAGTTTGACAATAATATTATGATGTACCAAGTTTGGACTGAATCGGTAAATTCACTCGAGAGTTATCGTCCGCACCAGCCATCCAGACAAACGGACGTAGAAAATGGGTGCACTTTAAGAACTGTTCCGGACTAAGGCGTTTGCGAGCAGAGATGGGCATAATGCACTGTATTTTTAGTGCACTAATAATTTCACTATCACTGTTCATTTAGTGGTAGTGCAATTTTTAATTCCACTACCACTAAAATGTTAGTGGTAGTGCAAAATAAATTGCACTACCACTAACCCTTTAGTGATATTTAAAAAAAAATTGCACTACCACTAAAATTTAGTGGTAGTGAAATTTCAATAGCACTACCACTAAATTTAGTGGTATTTGAAAAAACTTGCACTAAATTAGTGGTATTTCATAAAAAATAGCACTAAATTAGTGCTATTTAGAAAAGTAATCAAATTTTATGAATATGTACTATATATTCTGGATTGTTGTTCCCTACTCACTTCAATAAACTTCATTATAGCTGGTATAATATTTATATACATAGTGCTTTTTTTGGCTTCGCCAAATTTTAGTGGTAGTGCAAATTTTTTTTGAAAAATCACTAAATTTAGTGGTAGTGCTATTAAAATTTCACTACCACTAAAATTTAGTGGTAGTGCAATTTTTTTTTAAATATCACTAAACGGTTAGTGGTAGTGCAATTTATTTTTCACTACCACTAACCCTTTAGTGGTAGTGGAATTAAAAATTGCACTACCACTAATTATTTGATTCTTAGTGCACTAAAAATTTAGTGCAATATGCCCAACCCTGTTTGCGAGACTGCAGCGAAAGGGATTATGTTGCGACGTGCTGCAGTAGCGTAGTCCCCATCGAGTCCATGTCTTCGTCGTATGGAACTCCACCGCAGTCTTAAGCTGGGAATACATAAAGCGCTTATTTGGCTGGCTTCTTCGGAAATGAACAAAGGAGCCTAGGGCCAAAATCGAACTAATTCAACCTAAAACTCCTTTGTTCATCTACGAAGAAGCCAGCCGATGACTTAAGCCAGCCAAATATGCTATTTATGTATTTCCAGCCTTACGAATAGCAACCAATGCCGCAGCATCTTACGCCACATGTTGCTGTTCCAACTCAGGATTATGGATCGTTCTTGCAATTGAATTCCAACGGTCTCCGAGGCAAAATAGATGAGATAGTGGAGTCAAGCGTGGGTAGCAGTCAAGCAGTGGATCTGATGAGGTAGAGGTGCTTAATGTGTATATCCCGCCAGATTTTAGTCCATTGTTGGTAGGCAATAATTACCTGGACTAGGGGATTTTAATGCCCGCCATGAGTTGTGGCATTCCGTCCTAGGTAATGACGAATACGCAGATAAGACCAAATTTTCCAGCAGAGACAGCGGGATTATGAACGTGATATGAACGGTGAATGATCCGAAGAGTTGCGCAAAGTATTTTAACCGAAAATTTGTCCAGCACCCCGAGAGAGACAGGGCGAAGCTAAGAGTATTACGTCGTATCAGATCTCTTCCCGCCGAGGAGGAACCACCATAGTTTAGGATGGGTGATATTACAAATGTCATCCAAAGCGTTGAGGCCAGACTCAATGGTAATGCTGAAACATCTGGATAAGACGGGATTTGAGTACCTGAAGAAAGTTCTCAACCTGTCGCCAACCAACCACATAGTTGCCGAAGCCTGGAAAATGGGTCGGGCGGTCCCGCTACTGAACCCAGGCAAGGATGCCAGCAAAGGCGTATGGTACAGGTCGATTTTGCTTTTGTCGCCAGTAGCCAAGGCTCTCGAGACTTTACTTCTCCCCAGCATTAGAGGAAGCTATCCAGTTGCCAACCATTAGCACGGATTCCGTCTACAACAGAATTACACGCCATTTCCACACATATTAGTAGGGGATTGCATCAGAAGAAGCCGGGTGATAAAACAGTGTTAGCAGCCCTTGACCTACCAAAGGTATTTGATAAGTCAATCATGCCACACTGTTTGAAGACGTGCATAGAACCATGGTACAGTGATATCAAGGTAGGGCTATGATACCATATGATTTGCATTTTTTTATTTTCTTCGCTTAATATGTCATCTTTATTTGTTTATGTGTGTGTTTTCTTTTCAATAACAAAACAATTGTTCAGAAAACATTCAAATTCGGGCGCTTTCAAAATGTTTATTTCAACGTATGCATCGACAAAATCTAGAGTTTTTGTAGCGAAATAATCCTTTAGAGATATATAGTACATGATTTTGAAAAGAAGTATTGACCTTCCATTCAGTTATCGCGGTTATTTATTCAAAATAAATGCAACAAGTTGTTTGATTTGTTTTTGTTTTGATTCTAATTCTGACATTACAAGCCAAACAGGTAGACCTCTATACTTGCAATTTTTTCAAAGTCGGCCTACCTTCTCTTCATTATACCATGGGTAGAGCTATCAGCTGATTACAATTTTTTTCTAACTGTGCCCGACTTCTGCCAATTTTGGCTTTGTATTTGTTTTGAAAAATTAAATATTTTCAAAATCATTGATTGGAGGAAACATACATTGCGAGACGCGCTTTAAAGCTATTCACCAGTTTTGCCATAGTATTGAAAGATTATATCATATTTTTAAAAGATAATCTAGACACATCATTCATTTTTTCCCGCTGTTTAACTGATTTTAAAAAGTGAGGACAAATATTGAATAAATGAAAACAACTTGTTGCATGCAAATTTGACAGGAAGTGGCCATAGCCTCAGGTCTGTATTTCTGTAGCTTTACTAAGCTATTCTACCTCCTTATTGTATCATGGTATTAGGCTAACAGTAAAAAACCTATACAAGAATTTAATTGAGGATACGATTATTATGGGGAAAAATGTTGCTACCTCGAATTCTCTTAATTCTCATAATAAACATTTGCTATGAAATTAATAAATCCCATGGTAGAAGAATACAGGTAGATGTATCAACGCTATATGTTTTTATATGTTTTCTTATACGACGTCTTTCGGGGGTTATTATAATTCGCGTTGTTTCAACAATTTTTACAAATTTAAATAATTTATCATTCAACATTTTCAATTCCAAAATTGATTTGTCATTGTCCCAGCAGCTGTGTAGATGCGTCTACCTGTATTCTTCTATCATGATAAATCCGAAGGACAAACCCTTCGTGTATGCGGACTAAATTCTGCATGTTCCTGCTATTCTAATGTTTGCTTTATTTTTAACCAACAAATATTCGTATATGAACTTTTGAATGCATATAAAATCAAAAGGGGTAGCGAGGCGCACCGGGTTGAGCTAGTTTGTATATAAAGGTGATATTACTTATGTTCATAAAATGTAAACAAACACCCGTCAAATGTAAATGCAGAGTTCTATTTATTTTAACTCTGTGCGCGTCAACGCATGGCAAGAAACGACGCGTAGCGTGTTCACTTTGATTTGGCCTGAAATGTCAGTTTTCTTCAGTCCTATCGCCCATGTCCCACAATAATTACAACTGCCAAAATTTATCCATTTTAATTAATGTTCTTTATTATTTAATTAGTAAAAAGTTTAGTACACAGACGGTTATCATTTTCTTATTTTAGGAAAGCTTTATTCGGTATCTTGAAGTTCCAAAATATTGTATTGGGAAATTCGAGAATTGTGGTAAAAAAAGGTTGACAATCGTAAGGCTATACGTTTTACGATGATACACCATATATGTACGGTTGAAATATATAGGTTAATATATATGATTTCGGTTCGCAACATCTTGAAGTAAAAGTGATCGTGGTTTGAAACATCATATTAAACGAATGTGTTTTATTCGGTATCCCAAAGGAGAGACCTAAAATATGGCCGGTGAGTCAAATATTGAGCTAATGCCGAAATGCACTCTCCGCCCATAGGTCATGTTTTAATTCAATATCACTTGAGATTCCTTTATATATTAGAAACACGTCTTTTGGAATTTCAAAGAACCGAATACTATATGTTTATATAATATCTATTTTTTGTTTGTTTGAATTTCTAATACTAATCTTAAAATTAACAATAGTATTTTTGTTGCTGTAGTTGCTTGTTGTTGTAATATCTTTATGTTGAGTATAATATTGCTATATGTATATCAGAGATTGAAGCGTTTTTTAAAATTATAACTATTTTGAGTTTAATTCCATTGTTTGAGTTTTAGTTTTTTTCTTCTCCTTTCAGATGGAAACAGTGTGCTATGTTAAAGCATGTTTACATGTAATAAATTCAGTGGATTTCAACTGTCAATTTCATTGTGTGTGCTATGATAGAATAACACATTTAGTCGCATCGACACAGCTGTTGGGACAATGAACTGTCAAACCGATTTTGAAATTGAAAATGTTGAATGAAAAATTATTAAAATTTGTAAAAATTATTGAAAATGCATATTATAATAACCTCTGATTTGCGTCGTTTAAAAATCCGCTTAATTTTCATAAAACATTTAAAAAAATTTGACATATCAATGTTCCCAAGCGTTGATGTATATACCTATATTCTTCTATTATGATGTGTGCCTCAAATGTGACATCCCATGGTAGAAGAATAGAGGCAGTCGCATCGATTTTGAAAATAGAATTTTTGAATGAAAAATTCAATATACAAATCTACTTCTTTTTGAAGAAACATTAAGACATTTTTGACATATCAATGTCCTCAAGCTTTGATGCATCTGCCTGTATTCTTGTACCATGTGACATCCAATAAATTTGACATATACACCATGGCAGAAGAATACAGGTAGACGCATCAACGCTTGGGAGCATTGATATGTCAAAAAAAATTAAATGTTTTTTCAAATATAAATAGATTTTTATATGTTTTCTTATACTACGACATTCGGAGGCTATTATGTTTCGCGTTTTTTCAACAATTTTTACAAATTTAAATAATTTCATTCAACATTTTCAATTCCAAAATCGGTTTGACAGTTCATTGTCCCAGCAGCTGTGTCGACGAGTCTACCTATATTCTTCTATCATGTGCTTGAACAATGAACTGTCAAATCAATTTTGGAAATAAAATTTTTGAATGAAAAATTCTTCAAATTTGTAAAAATTCTTAAAACATGCATATCAGAACAACCTCCGATTGGCGTCGTACAGGAAAACATATACAAATCTACTTCTTTTTGAAGAAACATTAAAAAATTTTTGACATATCAATGTCCCCAAGCTTTGATGCATCTACCTGTATTCTTGTACCATGTGACATCCAATAAATTTGACATATACACAATGAAATTGACGACATACATCCGCTGGATTTATTACAAGTGCAGATCATTTTATGAACCAACGAATTATTTTTTTATGAAGTATGCATGTTGTCTATATGTATAAGAGTATTATTTGTTGTTATACATTTAGTTTTTGTTGTTGCCGTAGTTCTTTTGTTAAAATATTGCTATTTGATTAGAATTTAAAATTGTTATCTTTGGTGTCATCGTCATCTTATTGTAAGTTATCCGATTATGGCTGGTATGCGTTTTGTTGTTGTTGTTGTCATATGCAAAAATTCGTGTTTCGTTGTAATTTCCACTGTGCGTTTCAAAAAAAGTTCCTGTTTTTTTCAATTCATTTTCATAATTATCTCATTTCCTTCCCGGGCGGGAAACCACAATTCAACACTTCAAAAAAACATGTTTGTCCAATGTCTTTCCCATTCCCATTCATCCCCTTAAATATTCTGTCCATTGTAGGATGAGGCATCGCTGATGCGTCGACTTGTTGCAGTCTTACGATTCAACGTAGCTGTGCTGAGATTAGTTGGACGTTGCAGCGAATTATTGGCTGAGGTCTGATGATGACTGTTGGTATAGTTGCGTGGATTTGATGGATAGTAATTGAGTGGCGCCATATTTGGATTATCGATACGTGTGGGTGAAGAGACGCGAGGACGTGGCGAAACACGTTGCATAGAATTCAAAACTTCCTGGGGCTCTTGGTAACCCGAGTCCATGTCATCGTGATAGGAATCCATTAATGGTGTGGGATCTTCGTAATCGTAGTCAATAAAGCCATTATTGTCGAAGGACTGCAAGTAAAAGAGAAGAAAACAAATACTATTAGGTATCCATTAATTTTGAGTTATGTTTTCTGAATTCGTAAAGTTCTAGTAATATATACCGAATAAGTATTGTGAGAGATTTAAGACCAGATTACACATCTTGTTGGAGTCACACGTAAATTGACTTTTTTCACATTTTATATTCCCAGGTTAGAAATTGTAGTTGGCGCTTAAAAATCTATACACATATGGTCTGCTTTTAAGGATTCAGACAAATTCGGAAGGATAAAATCCAAAAAAATCGCGCAAAAATTATAGATTTGAAATTTTTCATTTTGACTTTTGGAATGTACAATAGTAATGTTTTATTTTGCATGATTTTTTTTTTTCATTTTGACTTACTATGTACATTTGTAGTGTTTTTTCTTTTTGAATTCTAATATGATGTGTAGTATTTTCGGGTAGTATAAAGCGGCAACGGACAAATCTGTTGTTTATAGATTTTATGTATTTAATGGGTAAATGGCATGGTAAAAAAATACAGGTAGATGCATCAACGCTTGGGAGCATTGATATGTCAAAAAATTTTAAATTTTTTTTTAAAATATAAGTAGATTTTTATATGTTTTCTTATACGACGTAATTCTGAGGTTATTTTAATATTCATTTTTTTTTCATTTTTACAAATTTAAATAATTTTTCATTCAACATTTTCAATTCCAAAATTGGTTTGACAGTTCATTGTCCCAGCAGCTGCGTCGATGCGTCTACCTATATTCTTCTACCATGGCACAGTGGTCGAGATCGTATGGGAACAGCGGCCAAAATGCTTTTAGTGCAGATATCAATATGATTCTTTGGTTATGGTACCTTGTTGGGATAAAAATTAAAAATGTGACAAAATGGATATGGTCGATGCATGTTTTGGCATGGTCCCCTTACAACGTACCTCCCGAATAAGGGTTATTTGCCCAATTTTTGTCACATTTCTACACTAGATTGGTCTGTTATTTGACATTTTACGTTCTAAGGAGCTAACAAAAAATAGTCTTACTGAACATTATTTGGAACGGGCCGCCTTCAGGTAGAGTCCCCCTGTAAAGGTACCTCCAAAAATAAAAGTATTTTTTATACAAATCCCCCTGTAAAGGTACCTCCAAAAATATACAAATCAAAATTCCAAATTTGATTATGTTTTTGTAAACAAAATAGACATTTTTTTTGTAAACAGAATAAACAGTTCAATATAAAATTAAATGAAAGTTACTAATGGATATTTATAAATTTCAGTGTTATTCAAGTAAATCAAATGCAGATTTTAATAATATAGATTTTTTATTGATTGGTAACGTTCGCTGTCCCGTTATAAAAGGGTCAGAGCTCAGAAGAAGACGATTAATAATTTTTTCGGGAATGATTTAGTCGAAACTTCTTAATATATCTTTGTTTCTAGACTCCACGGCCACCTCCTATAATTCTCCAATCGATACAATGACAAATTTATATGTATTAAAATTTTATTAGCTGTGGGTGAAAGATAGTGCCATGGATATCTATTTGTTAACTATTTAGCCGTTTCTAGTGCAAAGGCCTTAAATTTTTGGACATTAATATTATACCAAGAAGACAATGCAGGCAACATTATTGAACACCCCTCAATTACATCCTTATCAATCCCAAACAACAAAAACTTATTCTATGTCACTAGCACCATAGAACTGACAAAATTGGAGCGAAGTCACTTTAGTATATTGGGCATAACATACAAATCTGACAAAATCTGAAAGTTAAATTAGCACTTCTTGATTCTTAGGACCATTACTAATGGCGTGAAAAAATCACAGTGGAGGATTCAGGGGGGAAAACAATTAAAACTTTAACTGAAATCCAATTTTATTTTCAAAATTAATCTTAAAGGCAACTCAAAACACTCACATCGTCTATATTATACACAACTACTAAACACACAAATTACTGCACTAAAAATAAGTCAATACCTTGCTTTTCAATAATTATGCCAAGAATTGTCATTTTAAAATGTATTTAATTTTGTAATACAGATCTATTTTTACTCTTTTTTTACTGATCCCACTGAAAAGATCAACTAACTACATTTTCTCTTATTTGATGCTATTTTCGAAGTGTCCCGTTAGAATGAAGCCAACATTAATATGTTTTCTAAAAAGCTTAACCTCTTAAGAGTTCATGTGTACACATTTGACAATAAATATCTGATTTTCATTTTTTTAATTTTGGCCAATGACAGCGACCACTGTGCATGGGTAAATGGTAATATACGTGTTATTCAGAAGAGGATAAGATATGAAAAAAAATAATAGCGAGTTTAAACATTTTTTCAATTTGATTAAATTTATTGACGATTTTTTGGGAATGGAAATTGCGGGCGGGTAACATTGAACTGAATAGATGATGTTGAAATAATTTAACGCGGTCACACCTAAATGAAGGAATAATTACAATTTTAAAATCGGTAAGAAAAAACGAAAATAAAAAGACAAAATTGTCAATGGAATCGAATGACAGCCCAGTCTATTTGCTAACTTCGTAAGGACCTTAAACATTTGCTGTATCAAATCCGCGAACAAGTTCAAGAATCATGTGCGTTTTTTTATACCCTCCACCATACTATGGAGGGTATATTAACCTTGTCATTCCGTTTGTAACTCCTCGAAATACTCATGTCAGACCCAACAAAGTATATATATTCTTGATCAGCGTAAAATTTCGACGTGGCGGTGTCAATCTGTCTGTCCGTCTGTCTGTCTGTTGTAATCAGCTATCTTTCGAATGAATTGAGATAAATGGCTAACATTTTGCACACATGTTTATTTTTCCAGTAGGCAGGTTAAGTTCGTAAATGGGCCATGTATGTCCACGTTTTCATACAGCCCCCATATAACGGTACCTCCCGATATTCGGTATTTTGATGATTTTAACGACATTATTCACGGGAATTGTCTCAAATTTGGTATTTGAAGTTCGTTATAGGAACTACAGTGTGTCACAGAAAATTGTCTGTGCGGGTCCAGGTCTTTGTATAGGCTCCATATATCAGTACCTCCCTATATTCGGTATTTTGACGATTTTAGGTACAATACCCACCGAAATTGTTTGAGATGTGGTATTTGAAGTTCGTAATGAATGCTACAGACTATGACAGAAAATTGTCTATGCTGGTCCAGGTCTTCGCACAGCTCCGTCTTTTACTACGTCTTTTACTCAAGAACGGCTGATCTGATTTTGACAATTCACACTATTTCGGAATGGTCTCTTAGCCTGAAAAGGATAAAATCCTAAATATTGCGTAAAAAACGAAAATAAAAATGTAAGTCAAAATTTTTTGTGATGCATACATTTTTTAATTTTAATGTTGCAAGAATTTTACATCGAATCGAAAATTTAGTAAGAAAATAAATGATATACTCCGAAAAATTTTACTGAAACTTTCAAGTTATTTAAATCGTAGGTACCATTAAACGGGAGTGTATGCGCAATAGCGAGTAATGGCATTGTGAAACACACAATCTGGGCGTTGGAAAATTCTAAGTGAATAGTATTGGGTTAGTAAATCATAAGGGTTTAGGGTTCCCAGGTCAAACTTTTTAATGCCCATTATATAGCCCTAACCATACACAAAGGACCTCAAATATTTTTCTCTAAACTTCGCAAAATTTGCGATAGAAAAGAGAAAACTCGAAAAATTCTAAAATCGGGAAAATATTGAGAAAAATTTTTCAATGGAATCGAATTTCAAAATGATAGCCAATTCGGAATTTCTTTTGGCAGAAAAGGATAAAATCCAAAAAATCAAGTAAAAAACTTGTTATTTTCTTAATTTTGAATGAAAGATATTGGAAACCGAATTAGAGCACAATACGATGTTAAATACTGATATTTCCTGTCAAGAATTAACATCTCAGGACCTACATCGCGCTTCTGCTGTAAGATGCGAGCTCCTAAACCTTCTTCTTTCATATGGTAATAATCTCTCGAATATAAAGGGGTAAAGGTCACTGCAATATGCGGACTAAACAAAATAATATATCAAATTAGAACTTTATTAGGAACAGTAATTATATCCTCCTGAAAATTCTTCCACAACCTTCAATATACTTTAAATCGCTGGTACCAATATGCGCAATAGGGAGTAATTACACTGTACAAGAATAGTATTCGGTTAGTAAATGAATAGTATGCGGTTAGTAAATCAAAATCCCTAAAGGGGCTTACTTTCCCAGGCCAATCTTTTTTATGGTCCGTTATATAGCCTTATTCATACCAAAAGGACCTCAAATAAGTTTCTCTATATTTCGCAACATTTAAGTAGAACTTTCAAATTTGATACAAGCTTATGGAATATATGTAGAACTATTTGTACAAAATATGGATCGTATCGGTCAACGTTTTGGCATAGCACCCACTTAAGGGTATATTCCGATTTCAAGTATTTTTTATATGTTAGCCACGTTTTTCATACCAATGTCGGCAAATTTTAGTAAGTTCTTAGTAAGAAAAAACCATCCTTGCAAAAAATTATCAATATAGGTCCACGTTTTGGATTAGCCTTCATATGAAGGTGTTCCCTGATTTTAGCTATTTCCGGGGTCTTGGGCACATTTTCAATAGATTTGGCCCTTACTTAGCACCTTAGATTCTAAGGAGGTAGAAAACCACTTCCAAGAAAATGTTTAATGTAGGTCAATGTTACGGAGTAGCGCTTATATAAAGGTACATCTTGATTTCAACTATTAATAACTAATTTCCAATCGATTTGGCTAAATATTTGAAACACCGAATAATTTTAAAAAATACAGAATAGTTTCAACATAGGTATACATTTTGGTGTAGTTCCCATATAACTTTACTTCCCAGGTCCAATAATATGAACCAGATCTGTGAATAATTATACTTTAAAAAGTAATCATTAAAGACTAAAACTAAGGGCCAGCAACGCGGTCCGGGCCAGCTAGTATAGATTTCAATATAATTTGGCAATTTTTTTTGTGGTACCAAATTTCTTCTCTCTGTCCGAATTTCATTGGAATCGGACATAAATATGGTGTTTGGTGCATCAAATATGTGAGATCGGACGAAAATATATGTATGGGAGCTATATCCAAATCTAAACCGATTTCAATATAATTTGACAAATTTAATTTCGGATCAAATCTCCTAACACATTTCAAATTTCATTGGAATCGAACATACATATCGTGTTTGAATCATCAAATAAACGAAACGGAACGAAAAGAACCTTCGAAAATATATATGGAAGCTATATACAACTCTACCGATTTCAATATAATTTGGCAAATTTATTTTAATTACTCAAGCCGAATTTCATTGGAATCGGACATAAATATGGTGTTTGGTGCATCAAATATGTGAGATCGGCCGAAAATATATATATGGGAGCTATATCCAAATCTAAAACGGATTTATATATAATTTAACAAATTCATTTTTGTTTCCAATTCCGTTCTTCATACCAAAATTGGAGATACATATCGTGTTTGGTGCACCAAATACATGAAATTGGTCGAAACTGTATATGGGAGCTATATCCAAATCTCAATCGATTTCAATATAATTTGGCAAATAATTTTTTTTAGATAAAATTTATCACACGTTTCAAATTTCATTGAAATTGGGGATACATAGCGTGTTTGGTACATCAAGTGCTTGAAATCGGCCGAAAATATACATGGGAGCTATATCCAAATCTGAAGCAATTTCAATATAATTTAGTAAATTTGTTTTTGTTCAAAATTCCGTTACGCATTCCAATTTTGGAGACTGTATCTGTAATCGATCAATAGATATCTGCATATAAAATCTAAATTTTTGGGAGGTACCTCTGATTTCGATGCTACATCTCCAGTTCCAAGTGGAATTTCAAAAATTTATATAGCCTATGTTACTTTCTGGCGATGTTGTAGTATACTTGGAAATTTTCAAGAAAATCTGTGCAGCGGTTTTTGAGTCCATTAATTACAAACATTTTCCTCTTTTATAGATATAGACTTGTGTTGATGGAAATATCGCTAGATCGCCTCCAAATGTCCTGAAACGGATTTGGTCCAAAGAGACCTAGAGTCTAAAACCGTTATTTTGATGAGGCACGTTTTGGCCGTATCAAATTATATATACCCTCTCTAGCGATATGGTGGAGGGTATAAAAATAAGCTGGGGGATAAATCCCCCCTCAAGATTCATTGATGTAAAACCCACTGTTGTTGGCATTCTTGCCTGTGTTTGGTAATGGGAACACCTGTAGGGTGGCCAACGACAAGTTGAGGAGTTGATATTCCGTCATAACAAAGCGTTTTTGTTGATATCGAGTTTATGATGACATTTGCAAAATGTTTAACATTAATTATGGTTGTACCTCTTCGGCTGGAAGAGATCATGTACAAGGTGGTATTCTCCTCTTATGTGCAAATATATACCTCTTCCGCTCCGTTAAATGAGACAATCATCGATAATCCTTCTTTGCAGGGTTCGAATCAACACAAAATTTATTCGATGCGGTTTGATTGTTGGAAAAGTTCAGATAATATCATACCTAGGAGCTCCCATCCCAAAATTGAATTTTTCAAAAACCCAGACATTGAGTTACATTTAGTTGCACAGGGCTATAATTTAACAGTACCATGCAAAGGACACATACTACTTTAAAATTATCCTAGAGTACCTTTTCACCAACTTGACGTAGTAGTCGTTGGCTTGGCTTGACGAGATGAAATGCTAAATAAAATATAATTTCAATAAAATATGCCATGCAAATCCTTGCAATCTTAACATCCGTGTAATTAATATTTTCATATTTAATTTTTGCTGTGAATTCCATTTCCCCACATGCGAACTCGCACAACACCACTACACACACACATACATACCTTAATAGGTGTTCGCTTGACATAATCACGATACGGTTGATTTGGTGTTTTAGTACGATAATCCACAACCTCATAATGGCCATTCGATTCAGGAACTGTACTGGCAGGATAATCTGTTATAAAGTGTCGAGTGCCATGTGGCGTTAGTGTGGCCCACAACAGACGGCTGTCGCTGGCCATTTGACTCTGTAGCGTGTCACGACTGTTCACCGACGTACAAGGATACAAAATACCACCGGCCATGAAGGGATTCGATTTCGAAGGTTCGCCTAAGGCAGACATGGTGCCCTGTTTAATGTTGCTGTCGTGATACGACAAATTGCAGCTGGAGAAAAGCGTGCTGTAATTTGATAGAAAAAAAAAAATAGTAAAATATCTTAAATTATTCTGACATAATCGGAAAAACTTACTCTCGACACTTGAGCAATATAACAGCCAATAGTCCACCCAGTATGAGAACACCAACACATGATGAAATCAAAACAAATAGCCATGTGTTCTCCAGGCCAGTATTCGTGCCAGTCAGTTCAACAAACTCCATGCCACTTTCGCGGGGATGCGGATTCGGATCACACATCAGAGTGGCGAAGCAAGGATGCGAGTCATTGTTGGGCGATAGTAGAGCTGCAGTTTTTGGCAGTAGAAACGATGGCAATGGGGGTGGTGGCATCGACAGTATTGAGTCGGGGGGCGGTGGTGCACTGAAGGCGCAATTACCAACGCAATTACCCAGCATTGTGGCTGTCTGCGATAAAAGAGAAGAAGAAGAAATGAAGAATAATTCACAGAAATTAAACGGAATTAATGAATGTGCATGCATTTAATTGATGGTTGTTTGGTTGGTAGGTTGGTTGGTTCATTGCTCTGTTATTTGGAAAGTATGTAGGTTTCAGGAGCATATATACATATGTACTATATATATGTACTTTTTCATTATATATTTTCTATGTTGATCTTGTGTATATAAGTATATAGTAAATTAAAGAAATTTCATTTGTTGAGGATAAAAAAGTATTGTTCGCAAGTATGGCGTAACTCAGTAGTCCAGATTAGGACCACCTTCCTGTCATGGTAGCCATAAAAAGGCCATCTGACTTCATAACCTCAATGGCGAACTTTTATTTATCATATAAAAGGCTATAGACAAAAGTTCAAATAATTCTCCTAACGTCGTTTAGAAAACAGAGAGACGGCTTTTTAATTTCGGACACAGAAAAGGCCGCGAATGACACAATATTTGCGAGCATATTCTAAAAGGGCTTAAGCAGGTAATGTGACAGTGCTATGGTGTTTGAGAATTTTAAACGAATTCAACACCGATCATATTAGAATTGTTGCATCGCAAAGTTTGAAACGTTGGGCGCCACTCATATGTGGATTTTAAATGAAATGTAATTACTTTCGCACCTTTATGATACGAAAACCCGTCCATATTTGAAAAAAAAGTAAAAAACATTAAGTTCGGCCGGGCCGAACTTTAAATACCCTCTACCGTAGGGTAAGGGAAACATTAGAACCCATTATGACCCACAAATACAAATTTTTAGACATATTCGTGGGAGAATGTAGCAAAAATCATCAAAAAATATCGAACATCGGGAGGTACCGCTATATGCGACTATACAAAAACGTGAACCTATACATACAATGTTTTGCCAATGGAGCTAGAACCCATTAGGACGCACAAATACCAATTTTTAGGAAAATCCGCTAAGAAATGTGGCAAAAATCATCAAAATACCGAATATCTTGAGGTACCGTTATATGGGAGCTTTACCAAATCGTGGACCTATACTTGCAATGTTTCGCCACCGCAGCCAGAACACATTATGACCAACAAATACCAATTTTTAGACAAATCCATGAAAAAATGTGGCAAAAATCATCAAAATACCAAAAATTGGGGGAGGTACCGTTATATCGGGCTATACCAAAGCGTGGACCCATACATTCAATATATCACAAACAAGGACCCATTATAACCTACAAATACCAATTTTCAGACAAATCCGTGAAAAAATGTGGAAAAAATCAGTAAAAAAGGTACCGTTATGTGGGGACTATACCAAAACGTGGACCGATATATCTCATTTTCAATACCAACCATCCTAGACACAATACAAATTGCTCTGCTAAATTTTGGCGCTCTACGTCAAATAATGTGGGCTGTATCGTGATTTCAATAGAAAGACAGACAGACGGACAGACAGACAGACGGACATCGTTAAATCGAATTTTATGCTGATTATAAATATATATACTTTAAGGGGTCTACGACGAATATTTAAGGATGTTACAAACGGAATGACAAAGTTAATATACCCTCCTTTCCAAGGTGGAGGGTAAAAATATTGTTTGCTGACAAATCGATACATTGAATAAACAAGTAAAAAAGCTGTAAGGCTGGAAATACATAAAGCGCATATTTGGCTGGCTTAAGTCATCGGCTGGCTTCTTCGTAGATGACCAAAGCAAAGACCTATAATGGTAAAGACTAGACAAAATGCATTTTGAGCAAATGGTTTGTGTCTACAATACATAGAGTAACAGCTCATGGCAGAGACATGTTAATATAAAAACCACTATTACAGAAACTGATATCAAATAAAAATTTGAAAAATCCAAAATTTTGGTTTCAAAATTCTATTCCATGGACCTTTCCGAAAATTTGCACATTGCTTTGGTGGTTTAAATCATTTAACATTTGTAACGATGTTGTTATGATATCGTAACAACAGAGGTATTTTCACAGGGTTACCATATCTTCACTCTGTCTTGTCCTATCTTTACACTTCTATGTCTTTGACCAAAGAAGTTTTAGGTTGACTTAGTTCGATTTTGGCCCTAGGCTCCTTTGTTCATTCCCGAAGAAGCCAGCGGATGACTTAAGTCAGCTAGATAACCGCTTTATGTATTTCCACCCTTAGTCGTGCTATGGAGTTCGAGAATTTCAAAGGAATTCAACACCGATCACATTATTAAGGTTGTATCGCCAAGTTAGCAACGTTGGGCGCCAGTCATATGTGGATGTTAAATGAAATTAAATTACTTTCGTACCTTCATGATACGAATTCCCAAAACCCATTCATAAAGCCTTTTTAGACGCCATCAGTGAACCTCACTCTAAATTTCGGAATTTCAGTAAATCTCACCCAAACCCTCATTCTCATGAAATATCGATGACAATTTCTAGATCCGTCAAAGCACGTGATCTAAAATGGCACAACCTTATTGGTACTTTTATACCTTGCAACATTTGGCAGAATTGTTTTGATATTTTGATAAAAGCAAGTAAAAAAAACATTAAGTTCAGTCGGACCGAACTTTAATACCCTCCTCCTTTGGGCAAAGTAAACATTTTTGTATAAAAGTGTCTAAATTTACACGTGTTTCACTTTAACAAATACCAGTATGACCGTTTGGATAATGCTGTTAAACTTTTCAAAAAAAAAAGTGGGTGGGGCCATTATGTGGGGGCCATACCAATACGGTAACCTCCATTGACAATTTTATACTGCAAGGATTGTTATTTATGCGATTCTCAAAAATACCAAATCTGTAACAATTTCGTGGGAAAATGTGACTAGGATTATCAAAATACCGAGTATCGGTGGGTATCGTTATATTCGAGCTATAGGAAAACGTGGGCCTAAATTTTCAATGTTCTGTCGCTGGAGGTAGAACCCATTATTACCTGCAATTTTTTGGACAATTCCGTGGAAAAATGGAGTAGAATCATCAAAATACCGAATATGGGGCCTATACAAAAACGTGAACCTATAGACACAATGTTTCACCACCGGAGCTAGAACCCATTATGACAAACAAATGCCAATTTTAAGACAAATCCGTAAAAAATGTGGTGAAAATCATTAAAATACCGAATAATGGGAGGTACAGTTATATGGCGGCCAACCATCCTAGATACAAAACAAATTGTTCCGCCAAATTTCTAAGCTCTACGTCAAATTCAATGCTGAATTCAATGCTGATTATGAATATATATATATATATATATATATATATATATATATATATATATATATATATATATATATATATATATATATATATATATATATATATATATATATATATATACTTTATGGGGTCTACGACGAATGTTTAGGGTGGAGGGTATAATAATAATAAAACAAGTCTTCATGCGTTGGAGTGTGCTAGGGCAAGGCTTTTGAAAATTCGTGTTAAAAGGCTACGAAAATGGACTACAAATTTAATTCGTTGTATTGGACAGATGGAATGAGCTAGAATTCTGAAATTTGGAATGTGAGTCAGTGGTGGACTGCAGGATAGATGTACAAAAGGAAATTCAAAACTTTAAGGCTACGAAAAGCTCAAAAATATTGCTAAACTTGAAAAATTGTACTCTTTGGTATTATGAGAAAATAAATTTCGAAGTTTAATGTTGGAATTGATGTTGGTGAATGGTTGGAGAATTAAAATTGGTTTTAAAAATGTGTCCGAAAATTAGGGTCGTTGTTCATGTGTAGCATGTAGGTGGTTTCGAAAATGTGTACTACAATTGCACGGAAAGTATTGAATGGTTCTATATTTGGTATTGGGTTAAGGGATAGTGATAAAAATCTGAAATATAGACAACTGATTTGAGTTAAATTTTATCAACCTATTTCATTTCGTTCGGAAGCTAGAGTGATTTCCACAGACGGACAGACGGACGGACATTGCCAGATCGACATAGAATTTTATGCTGATCAAGAGTATATATACTTTGTGGGGTTTAAAATGTGTATTTCGATATGTTACAAACGGAATGACGAAATTAATATACCGTCCATACTATGGTGGAGAGTATAAAAACCTAGAAAGTCTAAAAATTTAGTACGATGTATGAAGTTTAGTTTTTTTATACCCTCCACCATACTATGGAGGGTATATTAATTTTGTCATTCCGTTTGTAACTCCTCGAAATGCTCATGTCAGACCCAACAAAGTATATATTCTTGATCAGCGTAAAATTCTAAGACGATTTAGCCATGTCCGTCTGTCTGTCTGTGTGTCTGTCTGCCTGTCTGTTGTAATCACGCTATCTTTCGAACAAATTGAGATAGGAGGATATTTTGCCAGTAGGCAGGTTAAGTTCGTAAATGGGCCATGTAGGTCTAAGTTATCATATAGCCCCCATATAACGGTACCTCCCGATATTCGGTATTTTGATGATTTTAGCGACATTATTCACCGGAATTATTTCCAATTTGGCATTTGAAGTTCGTAACGGATACTACAGCCTAAGACAGAAAATTATCTGTACAGGTCCACGTCTTCGTATAGCCCCCATATAACGGTACCCCCCGATATTCGGTATTTTGATGATTTTAGCGAAATTATTTTACGGAATCGTTCCAAATTTGGTATTTGAAGTTCGTAATAAATACTACAACATAAAACAGAAAATGGGCCATGTAGGTCCACGTCTTCGTATAGCCCCCATATACCGTACCCCCATATTTAGTATTTTGATGATTTTAGCGACATTATTTACCGGGATTGTTTCAAATTTCGCATGTGAAGTTCGTAATGAATACTTCAGCCCATGCCAGAAAATTGCCTGTGTAGGTCCACGCCTTCGTATAGCCCCCATATAATGGTACCCCCTATATTCGGTATTTTAATGATTTTAGCTACAATATAAACAAGTTTCGCATTTAAATATTGTAATAACTTACGACAAAAGTTGCCTATGCAGATCTACGTCGTCGTATAGGCATTCGGTATTTTTAAGATTTTAACAGAATTTTAAACGGATTTTATTTTTTTTTTCGGAAATTGCCAAATTTGTACCATATGGTGGAGGGTATTAAAAGTTCGGCCCGGTCGAACTGAACAAATTGTCAATTTTGAGTACTAAAAAGGCCTAACACGAACTGTTAGAACGAATCTAAAATTGTAAGGTGTACTTTTCGATGTTGAAGTAGCGTGCACTTGCTAGTCTCTACATAAAATATTATTAAATTATCTGAAAGGTCCAGACGTTAATGCAACATCCATATATAAAGTTTAAAAGGTTTCTCCACAATTGTGCTAATAGAACCTCTGCCCAAACACTTCTATACATATTTCGTATAATCTCCAAATAAAGATAACTCAAATGATATTGTACATGCTCTAGCGCGAGGTTAAGGCTTGGGACACTTCGAAAATAATCAATTACCAGTCAGAAAAAAACATTTGTTTACAATTCAGTGACATTGTTCGCTGTCACCTACAAATGCGTGTATGATGAAAGGTTAAAGTCAAGTCCACTTTTTCTAAAGTGTTTCCTTGCAAAAAATTGCCAATATGCGGCAGTACAAGAGTATTAAAAGTTCGGATATTGTTTTGATTTCAGCAATCCAAATATAAGTAGCAGCCTTAATTGATATTTGCCCTTCGAGTAATGATACTTATAAAACTGTCAGTCTTAGGGTCTATTTCAAAAAAATGCGTATTATTCCCCATCGAAAACAGTGTCAGTGCCAAAAAACGGAAAACGTTTTCAAACATTTTTTTACAAAAAATATTTATTACACCACTTTCGCTGTTTACACAAATTTTCACAGCGAACATTTCCCCGTTGAATTTTTTCAAACTTCAATTAATATCCATAATTCCACTCAAGATGATTGGTCAATATTTTCCATTAATTTTCTATTGTTTATACAGACAGTTTAAGTATGTCGCTCCGTTGTTTGTTTGTATACATACAGGATTTTTACCTGTCTTTAGCGATCCGAATGAAGGGTGTGAGTAATTGCCATTTTTCGGAACGGATGAAAAAACAACAACAACAACGAAATCAATTTTCCTCAAATTCTATACACATTTGATGTAGACACAAGTCTGGCCTGGCCATCCAACACTTATCGAACAAATTTTGCAGCAGAGCCCATTAGAGCTTACAAAAAATCCGCTTTTTCTATTTTCAGACTACAATATTTGTATTGTAGTCCACGGGCGAACAAAATCAACTTACCAATTATGCGTATAAATTAATTATTAATAAACAATTCCTCGTTCCAGGAGTATATTTTTGTTGTTTTCTTTTGTATTTTTTGTTTTATGTTTTTTTTTTTTCTAATGGAATTTTGTTTAGCTGACAAATAATACGATTTGTGGGTTACCTATTCGAATTGTGGTTGAAATGGAACTGAAATTACGTAGAAAGGATATTTGAAGGAAAGTCTGCCAGTCTGTGTTTCGTAGATAAGCTTTTGACATAGTGTCATGTAAACTTGTATATGTATGTACGCGCGGAGAGAAGGACATTGGCAAAGAGACGGAGAGGGAATGCAAGAGAGATTTTATGTGAGATTTGAGATATGGGACGTGATTTATAAAATTCATGGGTGAATATTCATAGTTTTTTATTTTATTATGAATAATATTTGCGTATTTAATTTTAAATTTATTTTCTTAAAGAATAAATACAAAACATTATTAATACATTGTTTTAATTTATAATATTACTGCGCATGTCCTCTCTAAACCACAAACTAATACTCTCAATGAGACCAACCTCTGAGAAAGCATTATTACATTATCTCTCACACCAGGGATGGTACTTAGAATAAGTAAACATTTTATTATGAATATAGGCTACAAAGCGGAGGGGTTTAAAATACTGCCGTAAAAAAGTTCTCAGCTTTTTTATGGTGTGAAAAAAGAAAATAAAACCAGTATGGAATGGTAAAAACTAGGACGCTATGCGCCTTTAATAGAACCCCGTAATAAAAGAGTTTATATTGGGAATTTATGTGAAGTAGATAATACCAACTATGAGCCTAATAACATTGCTGTATATTAAATTAAACATATTTATTGGAGCAATAGGTAACCGGACCGGGTTTCACTAAATGGTAAAATTCGTTTGAATATGAAAAAATCGATTCAATTTGGGCTGATATTACATATATGGTGAACAGTAAAAATAAAATGGGATAAAGATGCATATCGAATCTATATAAAACTCTGAACTGATCTCGAAAAAAATTGGCAGAGGTAATTTCGAGCAGTATCTAATGGCCGGTATCAAATATACTTCTTGTGGAGTGTGTGTGGGGGACTTTAAATCACAATTCGGATGAAACACATGTTTGCAAGCTAGAGCTATATCTGAACCGATTTTCTTCAAATTTGATGTACTTGCTTCTATACTGAATTCGGTCGGATGTGCCAAAATTCAGGTCACTTGGACTGATATTGGCCATTTGGTGCACAATTTACCCGAAATTCGTTGAAAATATATATAGGAGCTATATCTACATTTTAACCGATTCTCACTTCAATAGGGTTCGTCCTTGGGCCAAACAAATATTATTTGGAAAATTTCATGTCAATCGGATATTAAATGCGACCTGCATTATGTTCACAAAAATACATGGACAGTCAGACGGATTGACATGCATAAATTGAATATCCTCAAAAATAACAATGGGTCTAACTCGCTTCCTTCTCCATGTTACAAACAAATGCATATTAACATAATACCCTAATAAATTACAATTCAAAATTTGCATTTCAGTATCTCTAAATCTTCCGCATGTAATACTGCTAGCAGCTTCCACAAACATTTTCGAGAAGGTGTGATTCCAGTGTACTAATTTTTAAAAATTTTCCCGCAATGTAAATGTAAATTATAAGGCTGCCCAAAATCATTAGCCGACTTCATAATATGTGCTCCAAAAAATTGGAATTTCGAATTCCACCACAAGTGTATTGTTCTACCCTCCACCTTTAGGTGGGTATATTAACTTTGGCATTCCGTTTGTAACATCCCTAAATATTCGCCCTACATCCCATAGAGTATATATATTCAAGATCAGCATAAAATTCTAAGTTGATTCAACGATGTCCGTCTGTCTGTGTGTCAGTCTGTCTATTGAAATCACGATACAGCCCACTTTATTTGACGTAGAGCTTCACAATTTGGCAGAACGTTTTGGTATATCCGCCCTATAACGGTACCTCCCGATATTCGGTATTTTGATAATTTTTCCAAAATTTTTCACGGATTTGTAGTTTATAATGGGATCTAGCTCCGGTGGCAGAACATAGTGTATATAGGTCCACATTTTTATATAGCCCCATATAATGGTACCGCCAGACATTCGGTATTTTGATGTTTTTTTGCCATATTTTTCACGAATTTGTCTAAAAATTGGTATTTGTAGGTTCTAGCTCCGATGGCGGAAGATGTATAGGTCTACGTTTTGGTATAGCCCTCATATAACGGTACCTCCCGATATTCGGTATTTTGATGATTTTCGCCACAATTTTTCACGGATTTGTCCAAAAATTGGTATTTTTAGTTCGTAATGGGTTCTAGCTCCTATGGAGAAACATTGGACATTAGGGTTCTCGTTTTCCCATAGCGATATCCATCGATATTCGGTCACGAAATTGTTTCAAATTTGGAATTTAAGTAGATTTGGTCGATGACAATCATTAAAGTATAAAATTGTCTATAGAAGTTCCCGTTTTGGTATGGCATCCATTTGACAGCCTCACCCAACGGTTTTATTGGTATTTGGAGATTAAAGTAGAACACGTTTGAATTCAGATACATTTATATACATAAAAATGTTTTCCAACAGTTTTGGCATGTTTGTTCGGTTTGGTTCTCCTTATACTGAGCATACGATCTCGTCACATGGGTAAAAAAAAGTTATTTTTAATATAATTTCTGAAGAAAATATTCCAGACAATAAACAATGGAACTAACGAGGATTGGCTCTTTCCGAAACCTAAGTATTATCTGACTCTGCCAGGGTAAAACTTACCATCTTCCTCCACTAATAAACAAACGTTGTTTTTATAAAAACAACAATAATGGGATTTAGCCTGACTATTTTGCAACTACAAAAAAATGTTTTTTTTTTAACCCAATGGTGGAGGGTATTAAATGTTCGGCCCGGCAGAACTTAATGTTTATACCCTACACCACAAGGTGGTATTATGTCTTTGTGCATTTGTTTGTAACAGGCAAAAGGAAACGAGATAGACCCATAGTTCCTTTTGATGATCTGCATAGAATCACATTCTGAGTCGATTTATGCATGTCAGTCCGTCTGTCCGTCTGTCCATGTCAACTTGTAAACAAAATGCAGGTCGCATTTATTATCTGATTGAGATGAAATTTTGCGCAAATCATTTGTTTGGCCCAAGGACGAACCCTATTGAAATTGGAGATAATCGATAAAAATTTAGATGTAGCTTCCATATATATCTCTGTCCGATTTGCCTTTTATTGTGCACCAAACGTGTAATCTCAGCCCGAATAGTATGGAATTTTGCACATACAACCAAATTAGGACTGAAAATGAGTATGCCAAATTTGTTCGAAATCGTTTCAGATATAGTTATAGTCGCCATATATATTGTTCATCCGATTTGTTATTTTTGTCCACCGCAGCCGTAATATGCACTCTGTAAGAACAATACTTAGGGAAATATATCAAATACAGCTCAGAAATACCTTTGCTAAATTTTATCGAGATCGGTTCAGATTTGGATATAGCTCCAATATATAACTTCGTCCGATTTACCTTTGATTGTGCAACAAACGTCTAATATTTTCCCAAATGGGATGAAATTTGGCACTTACGACCGAATTGAGTCTAGAAGCTAGTATGTCAAATTTGGTGAAGATCGGTTCAGATATAGCTATGCTCTCATATATATTGTTCATCCGATTTGTTGTTTTTGTTACCCACAGCCGTAATATGAACTCCGTAACAACGATATTCGGGGAAATATATCAAATACAGCTCAGAAATATCTTTGCCAAATTTTATCGAGATCGGTTCCGATTTGGATATAACTCCCATATTTATTTTTATCCGATTTCAAATTAATTGTGCACCAAATGGGCAATACAAGTCCGAATTTAAAAGATACCAATGCTTTGTCATATTTAGTCCTTTGAACTTTAATTTATAATTATAATCTAAATTAGCAAAGCGGTGTAGGGTATCATAAAGTCGGCCCCGCCCGACTTTAGGACTTTCTTTACTGTTTTTTTATTTGTTTGTTTGCATTTCACATTTTCATTGAACGAGAATTGATTCCCAGGTCGCTTTATAGGTTAAAGATAAACGGTCATTTTCTCTATTCTAGGGTCGTCACTGCTCTCGTTTTCTATTATTTTATGTTTCAGTTTATTCTTGTAAAATATTTACGCCAGGAAGTTCAAACCATAAACAATATTATATTTTCTCTTTCGCCATAGAACCCACTTCTTTGCCATGAATAGCATTTAACCAGAATTGTTTAAAATATAATTAAATACTAACTTCCATCTCTGTCAAATACATACTCCACTCTTGTTTCTCTTGTACTCTCCCTCTCTCTCTCTTACTTTTGTTCATTCTCTCAATCACTGCCTGGATGCCACTGAAAACATTTGTTATTGTAATTGAGGGTGGGTGGGTGTGAGTGAGCGAACTAAACGCACAAATATTGCTCAACATGCCACTGCTGTTGCAAATGAATTTAACGGTACATTCGGCAACTCCTTCTCCATCCTCGTTCGCGTTCTCTAAAATGTTCTTATCACACGAAATCACCTTCGTTGCGTATCAATTTGGATTTTCAAGCTGATTTATCCTTTGTCATTTCATTACATCTGTGCTCTGTGGGTAAACATAAGTAGAGAGAGAGAGGGAGAGCTGGATATTGGTGTATAAAGAGCGAGATTACAACGGCGTAAATTGCTTATGTCCCGTCCCCACCCTGTTTTAATGTCAGTTCTGTGTTTACATTTCGTTTGTAAGTGAATGATGGCCGAATGGATTGTAAGGCAAATACGTACGTGCGTGCGTGCGTGTGTGTGTCATTCTCACTTTGTGGTTGTTGTTATTTTATCCTTTGCATCATTGCCATTATTTTTTTCCGTTCTTTTGCTTCCAGATCCTTAGAATATTTGTTTTTCTTACACAAAGCACTATCTTCGTTTACTGTTGCTGTCGCATTGTTATTGTTCGAACATATTTTTATGTGTCAACAATGTCCTTTCGATTGCACGTCGTTCTCGATTGAGGATGGGGTGGTGGTCTAGTTCGTGGTGGTTGGTCCTGTGTTTCTTTAGCCTTTTGCCACTGTATAGTTTGTTTTCCGGGCACAAGATGGGTGTGAGCCCGTCTTTCATGCCATTTGTT